GTCTGTCTGTCTATCTATCTATCTATCTATCTATCTATCTATCTATCTATCTATCTATCTATCTATCTATCTACAGTATTTATTTAAAATATTTTTACCCCACATTTCTCCTTAAAAAGGACCCAGGGGGGCTTTCACCATTAAACAGACAATATTCAAAAGCTAAAACAGTAAGCATACAAATATTTAACAAGAATTAAACCAATATGACATTAAAAAGTAGGTAAATAAAATCAATATTAAAAACACATTGAAAAGCAACAAGACACAAGAATACATTTTTTGGGGGGAAAAGACCCCTCTCAGACAGCCAGGCACTAAAGGGAAAGCCTGCCTGAAGAGAAAAGTCTGTGCCTGCTTGCAGAGAAGGACAGCGGAGATGGGGCCCGGCTGGCCTCCAGTGGGAGGGAGTTCCAAAGTCTAGGAACAGCAACAGAGAAGACTCTCTCCTGTGTCCCCTATAAATGTACCTGTGAAGGTGGTGGGACTGAGAGAAAGGCCTCTTCTGATGATCTTAACACCTTGAGCAGGCTCATAAAGGGAGACGTAACCCTTGAGATAGCTTGGACCCAAGCCATTTCGAGCTTTAGAGGTTAAAACCAGCACTTTGAATCATGCCCAGAAATGGATTGGCAGCCAGCGGAGCTGCTGTCAGAGAAGGGTGATGTGATCCCTGAAGGTGTTACCTTGTGGCGACCCTCATACCAGTCTCTCTAGGTGAATCAGTATCACTGCCCCTTTCTGGAAGCTACGAGGAAGTGAAGTCAATCAGGTGGCTTGCTTGAGTGACCCGAATCCTCTGTCCGCAGCTGAGGTGGAATTCGGAGTACATTTTGTACTCCGTCTCTGAGCCAGAACCTCATGCTTGCCAGAGGTTTCAGACTCCAGTTCCCATCACCACCACCACCCCCCCAGGGCAGGCTCTCTGGGAGTGATGGGTCTCTTCATACGACATGTCTGGAGGGGGTGATCTTGGAGAAAAGCGCGGTGCCACTTTTGAACCGAGGAACTGCTGTCTTCCGAGAGGGTCACGGTCTTCCCTCCTGCCCCTCTTCAGGACTGGCCAAAGCGGAGGACAAAGCGAAAGCACACCGAGCGAAGAAGCTGGAGGCCGGCCTGAGCGGCAGCCACAACCACAGCAACAGCGACGAGCAGAAGAAGAAATCGTCCGGATCCGGTATGAAAAAAGAGGTGGCGCCGACGGCAGTCACACCGGCTCCTTCCACTACAGGTGAGCCTCTGGGCCAAAACACCTTCCTGATGCCTTCCACCCCCCCCCCCCGGTCTCTGCCACTCTATATGGTGGTCCTCTGTTAATGGGCCTTTTCAGACGATGGCTGGCTGTTTTCTTCCACGGCGTTCACGTCTTAACCATTGAATGCCTGCCACTGAACATGTGGGGTTGTGGCTGCGGGTGCAGGTGACCCTGGGAGGGAGATACAGCACGCCCACAAGAAACACAGTTGGAATTCACCGACATCACCCGACGGATGGCCCACTGAGTCTGAATTAGCCGGGCATCCTGCCGTGGCGGGTGTGCAGTATCATTTGGCTGCAGGTCAAACTATACCTCTTCCAGCTGATGTTACATGTTAAGCTGGTCCACGTTGTCAGCAAGGGATCTGCACTCACCCATTTCTTCTACCTGACAGGGTTCACCTGCTCACAAATCCTCCCCCACCTAAAAAAAATATATTCTTATGAAAACCAGAACATTTGCTTTCAAAGCCCCCTACATCGTTTAATGACCACATGTTGCCCAGAGACTGTACTGTATATGGCTGCAAGTTATCTTTGCTGTGATACAAACTATGGGAATCTTGTTGTAATGCCAACTGACTTTGGTCCAGCGTGGGCAATTAAGAGCTGTTAACTTTACAAATGGCCCGTTTATCATTTCTTGAGGCGAACCAATTCAGCTGTCTGGATTTCTGGACTCTTCTGATGGTTGGGGATAGCTAGGGGAGTATGAGATTGAATACCTGCGCTTCCAAATTTACTACTGTCTGGGGATCTCCAGCAGTGGGAGGGGGCTGCATTTGTGTCCCTGAGGGATGCTTATGGCCCATGGATTAAATGATGGCCACCTCCTCTCATATGAACTGCTCAGAGGTGTATCTTGCTGTGGGGAATCAAACTCCCAACCTCTGAGCTATCTAGCTGGAATCACATCTTTCGAATACTAATATAATTTCAGCTTCTATCTGTAAAGTATAGATTGACCTTCAGTTATTTTAAGAAGCCTTGAAATTTCAATAGCAGAGTAATAAATCACATGAATTATAAAGGATGTACACTTTCAAACAATGGTTTCCCTTGCATTTTGCACAGAGCCGGTCATTAAATAAGACCAGGCCAGCACCGTCGTAGATGTCCCAAGAAAACTGTGTTTTAGCACACATTTCTAGCATGGCGTGTGTGTTTTGCCATTGATATGCCTTAAGCTTTCTGCTTACAGCTTGAAAAAAAATGTGAAAGAGCCCCTTGCTTGTTCATCCAGGAGCTGCGTGAATTGTCCCATAGAGATCACTCTGAATTTTCAAATACTGTCCGATGGAGAATAAGGCAATAGGGAAGCCAGGGAACAAAAATATGTTTCTTTGGGTTCCTTCCAGATTTCAGGAAAGCAGGATGTTCCAGATAAACACAGCTGCAGGCTCTGTTCCCACCAATCCACGTTCCCAGCTTTTCTGAGCAATGTGAGGCCCGTCAAATAAACAATATCACAGGCCTCACTCTGGCGTAGTCTGTTACGTTGCAGTGGGAACAAGATCAGGTCCGCGTCTCGCTTGGACGATCCCCCGGCCTCTTTTGGCTACCGATGTCCCCTGACACCATATTACAAAATGTGATTCCTGTAACTGGTATTGACCCCGGACTACCCATATTGGTTCACTTAGTGCTGTGCTAGACTCAAGCATGGAACGGCGAGCGCTGGTAATGTGTTTTTAAAAAAATTAAAATCTTCGTATGTGTCGGAAAAACAAACAAAACATATTCACTTTACACAGCATGAGACTTTAACAGGTAAACTTCATTATTTTGAATAAGTAACTCTTCAAGTAACTGACTCGTTTCATAAACACTCAGACTCTTAATTGCTGAAAACACCACTCATTTAGAGAAGGCATAATTAGCTGCTCCTGTGTGATTGACATGCAGCTCAAAGCCCCCCCCAAATCTCCCGAAAGTGTAATAATCCACGTTCGACAGATTTCAGGGCTCCATTTTGCCTTCTTAGGGAGAAACCCTAGAATAAACCCATACTAAAAACATGTTTCGCCTCTGGTCGCGAACACACAAAATGGTGGCCGCTTTCACCATTTATGGAAGCAAGGGCTGCCGTCCTGCATTTGAGAAAATGTTAAAGGGAGGTTCTCCTTTTCACACACATACACAAATACAAATTAGCAAGAAGGAATGTGTCTGGAGAGGTCACAAGTCAGGAAAAAACAGATCTGCCCACAGAATGCCCACAGAAGCTGTGGTTTCCAATTCTGATTTACCTGCAGACATTCATGAACAAATACACATATGCACAGGTGCAAACCTGTCAGGTGAACAGTGCATGAAGAGACATAGCTACCCTGTTTCCCCGAAAATGAGATCTAACCTGAAAATAAGCCCTAGTTTGATTTTTCAGGATGCCCGTAATATAAGCTCTACCCCAAAAATAAGCCCCAGTTGAGTGAAACCCCGCCCTCCACCCTTGTGCAGCAACCAGAAGAAGATGACATGACTGTATTTGAATAAATGTAGGTTGTTGTACATGGGAAAAAAAACATCCCCTGAAAATAAGGCCTACTGCGTTTTTTGGAACAAAAATTAATATGAGACCCTGTCTTATTTTCGGGAAAACATTGTAGGAAGATAAGTATTGAACGTCATCTACCATAGCATTTCATAATGTGATGATGAAAGAAAAAGGTGAGAAGGTACAAAGATTTTCCCCAACATTCCTAGTGATGCTGAAAAGTTTGGGAATGTCTGCTCTACAAGCCAATTTTGAGCAGAAACCATCTTACAGGACATGAGAGGATTAAATAATTTAATAAGTTAAAGTAAATAGTAGCTAGAGCATTCTTCCCCAGCCTTACATCCATCAGAAATGTTGGGTTACAATTCCACAGTGGTGGGTGATGGGATTTGTAGTCTGCCCCCATCGAGGAGTGAATGTGGCTCGTTAAGGGGATTTTTTAATTTTACCTACCACCGTCACTGAAAGCATCCCATATAAAGAGGCACATCTGTCTTCATCCTAGAAAGCTTGGTTTGGAAAAGGTCGTGGAATTGTTAATTTGGGGGACTCAAGACCCCATCCTCCCCAGTCACCATGATATTAGCTAACAGATTCTGAGAGCCAAGTCCAGAAAACTCAAGCTTCCAAGATCCACGGCTGAGTGTCTAGAAGTGTGACTGGTGGGCTCCAAAGGACATGGAATTTCTCCTACCGGCAGCTTGATTTTTCTGCACGAACCCATGTCCGCCTCTCTTGTCTCTTTTAGTGAGCCCAGAGGAGCACTGGCAACAGACGATCAATGAGAAGGGAGAGGTTGCTTGTCCGACCTGCAGCATGATCACCCGGAAGACCGTCCTCGGCCTCAAGAAGCACATGGAAGTCTGCCAAAAAGTAGGACATGGCATAGGCTGTCATCCAGAATTAGAAGTGTCAAAACAGAAGCAAGGGGCCGTCCCCTGTTGATTCACGGCTGTGGCTCCGGCCCCTGTGATTTTGCTGCAAGCCAAAGTCACCAGCTTGTTTTCTAGGCAGGCCACTTAGAGAAGGGAGGAAGCAGTGGCAAATCAAAGAGCTTTGCCAGACCTCACTGCATAAAGGCAGCTTATTTATGCTTTTTTTAAAAAATTGTTTCTATATACAGTGGTGTCTCGCATTACGACGTTAATTCGTTCCAGCGAAATCGCTGTAGAACGAAAACGTCATAATGCGAAAATAAAAAGCCCATTGAAACGCATTGAAACCCCTTCAATGCGTTCCAGTGGGCTGGAAACTCACCATCCAGCGAAGATCCTCCATAGGGTGGCCATTTTCGGTGGCTGTCTTGCAAGGAATCCGTCCCAGAAAACAGCGGGGAGCCATTTTATTTACCCGGCGGCCATTTTGAAACCACCGATCAGCTGGAGGAAAATCTTCGTTTTGCGAAGAATTGGTTCCCGAAGCAGGGAACCGATCATCGCAAAGTGAAAAAACCCCATTCAGACCATCGTTTTGCGATAACAATTGCGATCGCAAAAAGATCGTTGTAATACGGTTTCGTCCTAATGTGGGGCAATCGTAAAGCGAGGCACCACTGTATATTTTTTTTAAAAATGCATCAATTTTCTATATTGTTTTTATGCTGGCTGGATAGCTCAGTGGTTTGCGAGTGCACCTTTGCAAGTCTCGGGGAATTGTGTGGCTCCCGCAGTGCAGCCTGGCTGTTTCGTTCCTGCTTGGTGGAAAGAAAAGGGCTAGCTGGGTCACAATAAGTCAGAATTGGCTTGATGCCACATGATTATTATTAGCTGGCTGACATCAATTTTCTATATTGTTTTTATGCTGGCTGGATAGCTCAGTGGTTTGCGAGTGCACCTTTGCAAGTCTCGGGGAATTGTGTGGCTCCCGCAGTGCAGCCTGGCTGTTTCGTTCCTGCTTGGTGGAAAGAAAAGGGCTAGCTGGGTCACAATAAGTCAGAATTGGCTTGATGCCACGTGATTATTATTAGCTGGCTGGATAGCTCAGTGATTCAGGTATCTGGCTGTGGAGCCAGAGGCTGGGAGTTCAATTCCCCACTGGAAGAGAAAAGTCAGCCTGTGTATCCTTGGGCCAGCTGTACAGTCCCACAGTGCCCCTAGAGGAAGAGAAGGGGTAAAGCACTTCTGGATACTCTCTACCTGCAAAGCCCTGGAAAGGGTCGGCATGAGACCAAATTGACTTGGTGGCCCATTATTTTTTTTTATATTGTGTTCATAAAAATCTTAAAGCAGTTTATAATAATTCCAGGTACTGTAATTCTTTTGGAGCATTTATTTCTATATTGCTTTTCATTTTAAAAATGTCACACTACTGGCCTCGCTTCTCTGCGGCCACTGATATCATCCAGTTTCTGTGGCAAATTAACACCAATTAAGAAACGATTGCTTGTTTTTTTGTGACAGACAGGAATCATGTGACTTGGCCCATGACAAGACAATGTCATTCTGAACTAGCGGCGATTCACTGCTAAAATGTACGCCACGGGAATTAGACAGGCAGTTCGTGTATAAGAAGATTCTGGCCAGTTTGTGATTTTTAAAAAAGGCAAATGCAGGAGCTAAAAAATAACAAATAATAAAAGCAATGAAATCCTGGTAAAACCATTCATTGAAAACCAGGAGCAACTTGATAATGTTAGTGATCAGGAAAATGATCATGAAAACGATTAGTAAGCAATAAAAATAATGAAGTCCATTAAGTACAACAGTAAAAGAGAGTATTAACAACCTGGAGAATAATCAGGATGATGTCTAGGTAAATAAATAGCTCTTTAGTTGAGAGTGGAAACATCCAGCGTTGTCTGGTTAGAAGGCTACCTAACCCTAATAGAGAGACCGTTCTATATGATGGAGGGGTCCTCTGCACCCCAACCAAACCAGTCTGTACAGCTATAAACAAGCACTTCTCATGGGACACCGGAAGGAGTTGCGGGGGGGCTGCTGATTAAATCTGGCATGTACAATGTTTGTGTTCCTAATTACGGAAATATCTATCTGTCTGTCTGTCTGTCTGTCTGTCTGTCTGTCTGTCTGTCTGTCTGTCTAACTAACTAACTAACTAACTAACTAACTTTATTTATCTGCCAAGCCATCTGAAAATTGACGTATCTGTCAAATCTTTGCTCACCTGTCCCAATCCAGTCTCTCCCCGATTCTTACATAATTTTAGACTAAAATTTCAGTTTCTGCTCCAAATTGCACACCTACACCAAGAATGTGAGGATTACTCGCAAAATCCTTCATTCTCATTGATTTACACTGTCACCCCATCATGAGACATCTCAGTCAAATTTCCATATTATGCAGGATTCCTCGCCTTCAGACCGAGACCAAGATGAGGAGAACTTTTTCCACCCTCTTTCTCTTGCAAAATTCTTGTGATATATGCAAACGTCTCCATGGCCCATTGCACCAAACTGGCATAGTTTCTCTTTGAGAAGCAAAGCATCCACACTGAACAAACACAGAAGGCCCGGCTGATTGTTCACAAACAATCGGCCCGATGCTTCTAATTTTTAAAAGGTCAGGCTGAAGCTATTGTAGTTTTGCACAGTGTCTGTAAATTGCCAAAAATTATGTAATTTGTACAAATATAATGTTGAGAGCACTAGAAAATGAAATTGGGGAAGGCAGAAAATGTACATCTTGACCAGTGAGAGCAAGAATAGAAAGTATTTGAATAAAGTGACTGTTCTGGGGCTCTTTGGAAAAATTTGTGGGGCCCTTTGGGATCATGAATATGGGAGCATCTCTGTGTTTGCATGCACTTTCTAGATTTCTGATTCCTTCCCCCCCCCCCAAGGTGGATAATGTGCCACCTCCACTTCAGCATTTGAAGTGCTTAACTTGATTTTCCCTTGGCTGTGTTCAGTTGCAGGATGCCTTGAAATGCCAGCATTGCAAGAAGCAATTCAAGTCCAAAGCGGGATTGAATTATCACACCATGGCTGAACATGTCAACAAGGTAAGAGGCAATTTCCTCTGTGTCACTCTGCTCTTTTTAGGAGAGAGAGAAAACATTCTGAGTTGGGTATTTCTTTCATGAGAGCCCCCAAAAGATATGCATAGGGTGAACTTTCCAGGTCTTTGCAACAGGCAAAGATGGTCTAAATTAAAATGTGGAATTTGAGAGACAGTATTTAGGTATTTGTCTTACATCAAATTTTAGTTCATTTTAGAACTTTGTTTCAATGGATAGACCACATGGTTAGAGTGATGGGTTGTGGTTGTTGATTTTTTTTTTACACAAATGTATGTGCATTCCATGCCAGAAGGCGAATTCTGCATCTCTGTATGCATTTTGCAAACATGAATAATTGATCCTGTTTTGCAGTGTGTTGCAATGGGTCATATTTATTCCACTTCCACTGGTCATGGGGAGAGATAGGGAGCTGCGAAAGGCATTGATGCCAATGCACAGATGCACACATGTACGCACACACCACACCCAGCCAAGAGCAGAAATTTTAGCCTCTCTGGAATCTCAGCTCTTACTACACATTGCCGGCATATTTTGGAGCAAACCACAAGGGCTAGAAACACTAGCATTCATTTAAAAGAAAAATTAGAAAACTCAGGGGGAGGGGAGGAAATCGGCACGGAACACCACCATCTGTACTTCTTCGTAATTTATATCAAGCTTCGGTATTTAACAGGCCAAAATCCTATTGCACTACTGTACATGTGCAACTCAAGATTGCATGGGTGGAAGGTGAGGTAGCACCCAGGGGGCAGTGCTGTCTGTCCAAAGTCCTCCAATACATTGCGCAACTGGTTGTGCCACATCCACATGGCTGATAGCACAATTCTGTGGCGTAACTCCTTGTTGCCAGGAGTAACTTTCCATGACACCAGGATGAATAGGACACTGGCCATAGAATGATAGACCTGGAAGGGGGATCCCAAAGGGCCTTCAGTCCAACCCCCTGCAAAGCAGGAGCAAGTTTGGATAAGAACGCTGGCATTATTCCTACTTCTGAAAACTTTATGATTTCCGAAACATGCCAATGCATTGATTGTTCATAGCTTATGAGTGTTTGGATATATAAACAACAAAACTCTAGACCTCAGAAATATTATGCTCCAATGATATTTGAATTATTCTCAGATAATTCAGATATCTGGACACATTTGGGTTGTGCCACGGGGTACCGTATTTTTCTGTGTATAAGACTATACTTTTGTCTAAAATCTTTAGACTAAAAATTGAGGGCTGTCTTATACACGGAAGTAAGCTGCGGATAGAGAAAAAACAAGTGGAGGGGAAAGCAGGGATCAAATTGATCTTGCAGTGTTTTGATCCCTTTCCCCCTACACTTGCTAAGCCCTACTTAGATTTCTTAATTTTGGGTTAGAAAAGTGGGGGGCGTCTTATACATGGAAAAATATGGTATTTTAGCCAGGACTCCAGATTCCTTGAGAGCAAAGCCCTTCGGAGTCAGAAACTGGCAAGGGGAAGGTCCGAGCTGGTAGACAATACGGCCGCCTGTCTTGGTTCCTTTTTTTCCAGCCTGCTCCAGTGGAAGCCACTGTTCCTCTGAGCGAACTTGAAGAGCGGGAGAGGCTGAGGAAAGTGCTAAAGCAGATGGGGAAACTAAAATGCCCCAATGAGGTATTTTGTTTTCACTTCTTTCCTCCTATTTCTGCTGAGTTTGCCCGTAGGGTTGCAGGGGGGCGGAGAGAGGACGTTTTCAAGAAATGTATTCGGAGAGAGGAAGTCTGAGCCGCATAAACCTGGTTCTTGAGCTTTTTTTATTCAAGCGTGGTTGCCAAGTCCATCCGCCAGACTTCTTCAACCGGTTGCCTTCCCAGTTGGGTGGGGCTACAAGTCCCATTATCCCCACCATGCATGCTGCCATTGGCCCCTGTGCTCTCTCAGGATGCTGGGAGCTGTAGTAGGGCACATTTGGGGAGGCAATGCATTGAAGAAGTCTGACCTGCTTTCCTTTGTCCAAGGCATTTTCTGAAAAATGGTAAGATACCAAATAATTTTGAGGTTGTTCATACAACAGTCTTTCGTGCACACAGAGGGCAGGATTTCTGCGTTGTCCCTGTGTGTGAAATAGGGAAGTGAACCGCTGGCTTGCAGAACTAATTCGGTTCCAGAGCTTAAAAGCAATTATTTAGCCAGAATCTTGTGGGTTGTTTAGCTCAGCATGAGTACAATGGGATAAACTGCAATGGCTAATTGCCCCTCGTTGCTTGCATGCCTCGCCACATACCAGTCATGTGACTTGACTTGGCCTATGATGAATACAAGCAGCCACCCATCAACTAGGAGCAGTTTGCTACTGTGGTTTATCCCCTTGTATTTAACGCGAACACAAATAACCAGTAGGATTCTGGCTTAAAATGAATTTGTTACCTCATTTTATTAAAATGTTATGTGGCTTTAATGTTCATGGTTTTTATTGTTAAATGCCAACAATGTTATATCTTTCCATCTGTCTGTCTTAGAACGAGCAATGGTTCTTTATTTATTTGTTGTTGTTGTTGTTGTTGTTGTTGTTGTTGTTGTTGTTGTTGTTGTTGTTATTTAAGAGTAATTATTCAATTTAATTAATTGTTTTTAATTATTTAGGTTAATTATTTTGAACGGATTAGTTGTTCACATAATCTTTAAGTCATTACTTTTGGGTGAGGCTGTTTATCTAATAGACGCCTGACTCCCGTTGCTCTATTCGATTTCCGTTCTCCCTTTTTCAGACAATTCCAAACCAGTAGGATTTTCATATTAGAGGGGGAACAGGGGTGGCATTTCTAACTTTGTGTCTATGCCTTCTCTGTCACAGTAACACTGAACATAAGTTGTGCAGTAAAGCTTTTTAATCGTAATAATTGTAGCCTTAATATTGCCTTTTAATGATCTCACCTGCCTCTTTATACTCCTTGTTCTTACCTTTAAATATTGTTTTTTTAATGATGTCAGACCACTCTTGTATACTCACTGTTTTCAGCTTTAAAGACTGTCTTTCCATGATGTAAGCCACCTTGAGTCCTTTTTAAGGAGAGGGTAAAAATAATTTAAATAAACAAAAAAAAAGTTGGCTTCTGTGCGGCTAAAACATGAGCCGATATTTGTTTAAACAATTGCTGCTAATTAGGAACGGGGAGGGGGGAGTGTATCCTGATGGCCGCCTGCTCTGAAGTGGAAGAAATAATGGCCCCGATTCATAACAAGAATGCTACTAGCGCCTTGTTAATTACGAGCAATTTGTTGCTGCCGACTGCGCCATTTCATTTACACGGGCGTAAATCAATGGGATTTTGGTCACCATGCTCCAAGGCAGAGGGGTGGGGTGGCTTCATCCTTCTGCCTGGCCAATAGCTGTGAAAGGCTCCAAGGTGGACCGGAGGGGGTACGTCAGGTGGGAGACGTTGGGGATGTTGGTCTCTCCGACAGCATCATCCTCCGGCCTCTTTGTTCCCTTGAGCCGGGGCGACATACGGTGCCTTGCAACCACCTGGAAGGCTTCTTGATATAATTACAGGGCGGCTGCCGGCCAGCCGTGTAGGTTTGCAGTCCTGTACCCACTTCCCTGAGGAAAAGCGGTGCGTCGCCTCCTGCGTGTCGCACCTGAGGAACAGGTGTGGCATCCTATCTGGAGAAAAAGAGTCGGCCCGGGGAGACGAGAATTCCTCTCTCCCCTCTCAGCCGGGGAGGTCCCTGAGCCATCTTGGGCTGTCAGGTGGCCTGCCTCCTAAGACTGTTGTGAGCCAAACGTAAAGGAGGAAAGCGGATCACAAGGGCTGCCCCAAACACCTTGAACAAAAAGGGTGGGCCGTCAACAGATACGCCCAGGGTTGTATAGCCTGCGTGGTGGTGTTGTTGTTGTTGTGTGTCATCTCTGTTTCATGCACAAAAGCGCATCGTAGGCCACCTCTGGGCCGGCTGCCAAACGCCACAGCATGTCCAGCCATCCTGCTGGGACTCTGGGAAACTGGCCTCAGCTGTCATTATTGCTAATAATATACTTTAAACGAGCCTTCCCAATCATAGGCTCTCCCTCCCCCCCCAGTATAATTTTTTCTCTCTCAAAAAAAATTACCCACTTGCTTTCTTCAAAAACGATCCTGGTTTTCTGGCCACTGGGAGCTTAATTATCCAAGGCACATAAAACTCAATATGGTGTTTAAGATCCCTAACCTATTTGCCCTAAAATAAATCTCTGCTGTCCCGTAGATTCAGACTGCTGAGGCAGTGGGAGAAGTCTCCGGCTTTCCCCTTTTTTCCTGGATTTTGTTTTAGAAATCTGTGCCCAGTGTTGTTGCTGGTGTTCGTTGTGGCAGAGCCCATTGACAGCCCCCTGCACCCCCCCCCCCAAAGGAGAGTCTCAGAATGGAGGCAGCTGGACTGGTTGAGCTCAGCGCTTGAAGAGCAGGTCTTTTGTGAAGTTAATGGCTCTTAATCGTTCATTCTAAGCTGAACCACCCTTAAATACTATGCATCGCAACAGAGATAGCTTGCAACAACATACTGCTTGTGGGGAAATCCATTTCTTTCCCAGCTACTGCGAGGATTGCACTTAAGCTCAGAGGGAGCCAGAAATCCTGTTTTTATTAATGGATATATTAACAGTGAATGTGAATCTAAAATAGGGACGTGGTGGCGCTGCGGACTAAACTGCAGAAGCCTGTGCTGCAGGGTCAGAAGACCAAGCAGTCGT